AGTGGGGGCGTAAGGTGCACATCGGCCCGGGACGATCGTTTTATTGTTATGGAGATTTTGAGAAACCGCTACCTGACCGCTGTTGAGATACGCCAGCGGCTTCAAATCGCAAGAGGCGCTAATGTTAGTGAGCGTACGGTGAGAAGACGAATGGAGGAAGTGAATTTAAAAGCTCGTAGACCAGCACGAGGTCCAGAACTTCTCAGACAGCACCGAGTAGCTCGACTTCAGTTCGCAAGAGAACATGTCAATTGGACCCACGATCAATGGGCTAGAGTGTTGTTCACAGATGAGTGTCGAATAGCTTTACGTGCTCCAGACAGTCGTGAACGAGTGTGGAGAAAAAAGAGGAGAGAGGTTTCTACCCATTACCACCACCTAAACTGTGAGTTTCCATGGAGGCTCAATAATGGTATGGGGAGGTGTAAGTTCCGACGCACGTACAGAGTTGGTCATCGTCGATAATCGGCTTACAGCTACTCGATACATCGAGGAAGTTCTTCAGGAGCACGTAATGCCTTATTCGGGATTCATTGGACACGACCAATTCCTCCTCATGCACGATAATGCACGCCCGCACGTCGCACATTGTGTAGAGGAATATCTGGAAGAGGTTGGAATACAAAAATTACAGTGGCCAGCTCGTAGCCCGGACTTAAATCCAATTGAGCATGTATGGGGTATGCTCAAAAGAAAGATAAAGTCCAGCTCCAAACCGCCACAAACTCTAAATGAGCTCCGAAATGCAGCGCTGGCCGCTTGGGACAGCATACCGCAAGTTGATGTCAGAAACATCATTCAAAGCATGCCAGATCGAATGCAAGCGGTTATCAGGGCTAGAGGAGGAAACACCCGATATTAAAACTGATAGACAATAAAGAAACAGACTTAATTTTTAACTTTGTAGTGTTTTTAAAGTGACAATGGAAAGATGTTAATTTTAGTGAAAACATGTTATCTTGAAAAGAAAAATTTCGGTGAAGTAAACATTAAATTTCTATGTTCTAAAACCATTAGAGATACTTATTGAATGCATCTACCCTTAATTTACTGTTAAAAAAAACGTTTCAGTGCAAATAATCAGCAAATTCACGAGTGGCCAAGTTTCCGTGCCGGTGAGTGTATATATATATACATCCCGTAACTTATTGTACGTCCACTATGGCCAATTTTGCATATAATGTGGCGTCAACCTGCTTACGACGTCCAATATACGGACGTCAAATTGGAGACTTAGCGCAATGTTCGCAAATTGTCATGCTGATCACAGAAATGACAAAATCTAAAAAAAATATTGGACGTCATTTTTCTTCCAATCTTGCTGTACTGAATATTTACGTAGTTCCGCTAATTTTCGTTGCAAAAATAATAGCACTGCTGTCGATTTGTGAATACTTTCATTTATTGGCCGTATTTGACTTCCGCACAAAATTAGGAGATGCGACGTTGCCGTTCCGTCACCGTTGCCAACGTGTTACTTGTATTTGGTGATATATTGGTTATGACTGCCTCGTTGGTCTAGTGGTTGTAGTAGTGCGACTGCTGATCGTGAGGTCCTGGGTTTGAATCCCGGGTCGGGCCAAAAATTCAATTATTGAGTTTTTCTGTCAAGAAATTCTCAATAGCTGCCCGTCAGTCAGCAGAGTCAGGAAGTTGACGGTGTATCACCCCCTTGCCTCGGAAAGCACGTAAAGCCGTTGGTCCTACGCCTGATCTCTAAGGTCCTCTCAGGTGAGATCAAAAACAGGTGATCTCCGGTCGTGTCGGTTTACCGTCCCATCGGATTATGAGAATGAGGGAATAGAGAGTGCACCTGTGGTTGCGCATACACTTGGGCACTATAATCCTGTCCTGCGCCGATGGCTAGTCTCCGTTGAGGCAGGCCGCCGTGACAGTAATTCGGTCTGCAGGACATTATTATATGGTTTATACTGCGCTTGGTACTAGTAATTTTACTTTTAAACTTGTTTTCTTAACCTTACATTTACCTACACATAATATGGACGTCCTAATATACTAAAACTTTAATACTGAATGATATTTGACATCCGTATTTTTGAATTTAGTTATATTTTATAAATGTAGATACGGACGTCAGCTTATCGGTTTATTTCATGCTGCACTATATTTTAACATTTTAAATTTGGTACTAATCTGCCTAAAAGAACTCTTGTTAGTTAGAACTTTCGTAAGCAACCCATAATTCTGTTTGAGTATAAGCTACCTTCTGATTGAGTATAGGAAGATGGACTCAATTGTAGATATTGACAGGTTTCATAGAAGTTTGTTTTATTGTATTGTGACTAATAACCTCAGAGGTTATTACATAAGCTAATAACCTAATATGGTCTGGCGAAGAAACTCATTTGAATATAAGGTTTTACTGTATTAGGTTGTTAATTTCTACAATAGACCGTAGCATATTGTTGCCGACATAACTCCGAAAATATAATTTATTTACTTGATCGTGTTACTTGTTGGTGCTCTCACTGCCTCTTAAGGATGAGTACGACTATTGTACCTAATATGTACGAAATTACTCTCTACTTAACTACATTCATTTTTGTGAAAAGCAATTTTTGTTAAATTATGATATTATATTTGGGTTTGCAGTTAGTTGAAATACAATTTAATTTTTCACACACGTTTTCTAAGCTTATAAGCGTTTTATCATTTCTAGAACGAAACATTTTATAAAACACCAAAGTGACTATTTTACACCGCATGGGCTCCCTACACTAAAATAAGAATAAAACAATAGCAAAAAATGTCATTAAAGCAATGATCATTAATGTGTCTTACACACAAGGAATTAAAATATAAATAAGTATATTCATGGTTATATGGACGTCAAATATCGTGCGGTATGAAATTTTACCGATAATCTGACGTATGCATATAGAAACATAACAAAATTCAAAAATATGGACGTCAAATATCATTCAGTATGAATGTTTTAGGATATCCATCCATCCATATTATTACATGTAGCTAAATCTAAGGACACTAAAACAAATTGGAAAGTAAAATTATCTACCAGCACTGAGTACAGTATAAACCAACAGAAATACTAAAATATGCCTTGAGAACTAAATAAATAATCAACATAAATAAATGGTAAAATGCAATAATCAACAACAACTTTGGACATCGGATATCGAAGAAGTGGACGTCAAATAAAACTTAGTGTGAATATTTTAGGATATTCTTACGTCCGTATATGGGTAAAAACTCCATTCAATGTCTATGTCAAGTACATTAATCAACTTACACAAGTTTATTTAGGTACCTAAGTTACTAAATATAACCAAAGAAACTTAAATGCAAGCAAACAAATTCTCAATGTGCATAGGTGACAATACGGACGCCAATTAGAGCACGATATGCATGTTTTTAATAATATAGCGTCCAATATTTATAACAACAAACACAAACAAATTGTATTTCAACTAACTGCAAAACCAAACATAATATCATAATTTAACAAAAATAGCCTTTTACAAAAATGAATCTAGTTAAGTAGAGAGTAATTTTGTACAGATTAGGTAAATAGTTCACACTCATCCTTAAGATAGTGATCATAAAAAGGAAACTCGCAGTGAGAGCACCAAAACTCAATATGATCAAGTAAATAAATTATATTTTCGGAGTTATTCATGTCAGCAACAATATGCCACGGTCTATTGTAGAAATTAACAACCCATTTGCAGTCAATGCAGTAAAACCTTATATTAAAATGAGTTTCTTCCCAAGGTCATATTAGGTTATTAGTCACAATATAAGAAAATGAACACCTGTCAATATCTACTATTAGTACTTATTTACAATAGCTCGTAAAATAAGTAATAATGTATTAGTCAATCTATAATGTATCGCGGCTGAGCAATTATAGATATTTTTTCGTATTTAATAATCGAATAACTAGTCGGTAAATTGATCATGATATCTGTTTTTTTTTTTCGCCGGAGACAAAAATGATATTGCGTATTATTCGTAACTGCACATTCTGTGGATTTATTTTATTATTTTGAACAATATACAAAACTTAAGTGACTAAAATTAAATCTAATCTGAACCAGAATCATAAAACTGTATTATTCATGCTAAAAGAATCTAATAAAGATCTGTTATTTTTGTCTCCTGCGAAAAAAAGACTATAGGAATCTATAGAATACCTACGTAAGCAAAATATCGCCTATAAATAAAATATTACAAAGCGGAATATCTGATAAAAATGGCAACGTCGCACCATACAAAGGAATTGCAAAAGTTAAGCAGAGAATGAATTAAAAACTATGTATATTACAGGGATTCTGGATAATTTGTAATATGGAAGGGAGTCCTGATTGGTTTCTCTCCGTCTGGCAATATACGAATATTTGTATATCGACATATGGTAAATTTTCAAAGAAATGAGTTAAACACTATCTTTGAAATTGTTTAATGGATCAATATTCGCAGTTATAATGTATAAAAATTGCCTACAAGTGGTGAACGCTACAATAATGCGAAATGAAAGGACGTAGAATCAATATTGTGATGTATATATATATATATATACATAATACTAATTTAAGGGCAAATCGTAATATTACAGATAATCTCATTAGTTAAGATTTTTTTTATGGAATTGAGGTGACAAATAAGCACACAGTCCATTTGATAGTAAGTGGATGCTGTGGCCCACAGACATGTTCATCTATCTTCAATTATTGAGAATCAAAATGCTGATATGTTGTTAATCCTGAGGACTAAGATGTAATGCTTCGTTTACAGTAAGAAAGGACTGCATCTCAACACAACAATTATTTAGCAAATTTTTATTTACATTCTACTTACAATAAAAAATATTAATAAAAGCTTTTGTTAGCACAATTTTGTTTTACAAGCTTTTCATACAATGAGTATGACGACTCATTTAGTTGATCTCTAATTGTATATTCAGGCACAAAAGAAAATATAAAATTACAATGTAATGCAAAAGATTTTTTTATACTAGCCTTATTGGTTGTAAAACTGCAGCCATTAACTTAGACATTTTTAATTAAATAATATAAATGACTGTGGTATGTATGCAATGTTATTGTGAGGTTTTTTGAGGTTCTCTAAATACTCTGTCTAAGTTCTCTAACCTCCACTCCACTAACACTAACCATAGATTACTTTTGACACCATAGATAAATAAATATGTAGCAAGCTACATTTGGGTTGACACTTGACACTGGGTGCGTTTGGCAGAAAAAAGCGCTAGCAAGCGCTTGTAAGCAAAATGGCGATCGTAAGCGGTAAGCGCTGTCAAATCGTAAGTAGCTATTTTCCTCCAGGACACGATGTTAGTTTTAACCGGGGAACCTAACCTAATTTAAATATATGTTTGTGAAGTATTCATATTAAAAACTTACCAATCATGAATTTTTAATAACATGTATATGTTTATTCACGTTATTATATTACTTAAAACTAATATTGCACAAAATAACTTAAAAACTCTACTTCAAAACAAACAAATTAAATAAGCAAAATGGCGGATTGTGTCAGCGCTACTGAAGTAGTATCGTGTCCTGGCCGAAAACTATTTCAGCGCTTGTAAGCGCTTGCTAGCGCTTTTTTCTGTCAAATGCACCCACTAACTCAGCGTTGCGACTGTAAAAAATTGAGTTGCCGTATCTAAAAACGAAAATTGCCGTATTTATGAAAAAATACACGAAATTGCCGTAAAGTATTTATTTCTACGAAAAATTAAATAAAACACATAAAATCTGAAATGTCTTCACCGTATAGGTTTCTGATTGATTGAAAACATCACTTCTTTGTCTATGCAATTAATATTTTTCTTTGCTTTTCATTTTCTTATACATATGACAGGCCTGTTGGTCTAGTGGTTAGTAACCCTGACTGCTAAGCCGGAGGTCGTGGGTTCGATTCCCACCCAGGACAAATGCTTGTGTGATGAGCACGATCATTTGTTCTGTATCTGGGTGTAATTTATCTATAATATTTATGTATTTAAAAATATATAAGTATGTTTATCAGTTGTCTAGTACCCATAACACAAGCTCTGCTTAGCTTGGGACTAGATGGCGTTGTGTGATAGTTGTGGAATTATTATTATTATTATATCATTTGACACTTGAAATTTCGTACAACCTCCTTGATTTTTAACAGCTTGTCTTGCTAATAGAGTTCCGTTGACAGTGGATGCTATCAATTTATTTCTGTTTTCATATTGTTTACTTCACTGAAAACTATTTCGTAATCTGCATTGCTATGTTGTAGATAGACATAGGTAATAGGTCTAAAGCAAAATTTGGTAATATTTTGCAGCCTGTAGTATCTTGGACATTTGCCCAAAATTCATGCTTTTATCTCTAATTCTGAAAATTTGTTTACATTTGGTAGCAACCTCCACTAGTCATCAATTCGTTGCTTATCCGATTCTCTCACAATTCGTGGCAATTGCTGGGTCAGTGGCGACAACGACGGAAAATAACTATGACGTCATTGTCCTTTTCGCGTGTTTTGAAGTAAGAGTTTAAGATTTTTGTAGAAAGTGCAGCCATTCCAACAAAGCCAACATGAATCCAAGTTAAATTTACTGCCAGAGTAAATGCTACAAAAGTACAGAACACATCTTATAGTTCATAATGTTGTACATTCATTCAAAAATATAAACAAAGTAAATATGTGTATCTCTTCTTCTTCTTTTAAATTATGGCTTCTCTTGTATGTGTATCTCTTTCATTCATTACTTCTATCAATGTCAACCATGTGTCATGTTCATACGATCTTTGTTAGTCTCATAAAATAAAAGATGGAACGGTAATTTCCCGACATAGACAACCGAACTCTTTATTATCACTTAAAGGATGACGAAAGTGAAAAAATATGGATATCGATACAGGTATTTTATGTTTTTTTGTTCATAATTTGCCATCGTGGTTTATCGCAAAGCTGAATTGCCATATTACTTGATACGGCAATAAAAAGCTTGCCGTATGCCGTATTATCTTTAAAAAATCGTGGAATGCCGTATATTACGGCAATTGCCGTATCGATCGCAACGCTGCATTAATTTTCAATTTATACAAAGCTATTTCCTATGAATGAGTCCATAGAGTAGAGTAATATATACAGAAATGAATGAGTCTGTGACAGTGACAGCTGATAGCTGACACAACTAGGTTTTTCTGTCTACGGACACAACGAAGGCAGAGAAACCTATAGACTATCAATTAGCGTGGCCTCGAATGAGAAAAGACGATAACGTAGTTTTAGGTTATACAATAATCTTTATGACTTTTAAACATATTTAGACAAAATTTTTAATTGTTCTAAGAACTGAACTGAACAAGATTCACCAATCTTAAGCTCACAAAACACTTTTCTCACTTAAACCAACTTGTAAACTCCTTAGATCACTACGAACTGTTAAAGTGGTTTATCAAAGTGTAGTTTGCCAAACAAAAACCGGAACGGAGAAAGGGACAATGACAACGCTCTGTCTCATTTCTATGCAAGACGTATGCATAAATCTATCTTTTTCGTGTGCGAATGCGAAAGAAGGCGTCAATTTGTCTATAGGTTTCTCTGTCTACGGGACACAACGAGACCATAGATAAATAGATATGTGGCAAGACAAGGGACAGAGATCCGTAGGTATTCGTAAACTATAGTCAAACTTTGAGCATAGAAAATAGTATTATCTATACTATTTTCTATGCTCAAAGACCAAATCTAAGAAATAACTTTTGACGTTTCATATTAATCAATCCGCAATAACTTTTCACAAACGTACTCACACGATTTAAAATAACCTTTTACGTACATCCGAAGAATTATGAAATTATCTATATTTCATTACAACGTGAATAGTTTTTTATCACTAATTTAAATTCGAATCTTTCAAACAAAGCAAAATATAAAAAAAACCATTATCAACTTTTTTACTTGACGTCGTTCCAATTACATGTCGCTATGTATCTTACCGTTGTGTTTGGATAATTAAAACTCATTGTTATGCTAATTACAGGAAAAATATTCCAATAATCGGTAAAACTATTGAAATAATCGAATCATTAAATTTTTAGTGTATTATTTGTTAAATTTTCTAGAAATCAAGACGAGATCGATAGGAGAATTGCTATAACCTCGAATAAATTTTCGAAACATAAAGAGGTACTCAAAGCAGAACTACTGCTAAATTTAAAAGAGAAAGTCATGGATTGCTGCATACTTCCCTATCTCACATATGGCTGCCAAACATGGATCTTCAATAGACAAACAAGGAATAAAATACAAACATGTCAACGTGCAATTGAAAGAAGTATCCTAAACCTAAAACTAAAAGATAAATACAAAAACAGGGACTTTCGCAAGAAAACGAGAGTGATAGACGCATTACATTACTCTCAAAAACTGAAGTGGAAGTGGGCAGGTCATGTAGCACGATCTACAGATACCAAATGGACTAAATGAGCAACCATGTGGACAGGACCAACAGGCAAACGCAAACGAGGAAGACCGAAAGAAAGATGGGTCGACGAGATTGAAAAGACAACAGGAAAAATTGGTTAACAATAGCACAGAACCGAAAAGAGTAGAAAAAGATGAAGGAGGCCTTCACCCAAAGATGGGTCCTTAATTGAAATATACATTTTATTTTATTTTCTAAGCGTACATATAATTGTTGTTATTGTAATTATTTTCTATTAAGGAATAAAGAGGCTTTATTTTTATTATTATTTTGGGTTATTGATAAAGTAATCACATCTGGTTGGGCTGGATAAATATATAAAAGGAAAAATAAATATACTCAAATATATATTTAATATATTGACATAAATAAATAAATAATACATAAATAAATAAAAGCCCAACCATATGGAAGCCCTCGGCAGTGGAGACCAAACTGCCGAGGTTTAGGGGGAAAGTGAAAGAAACCAGCGGACGATGCGGGCGGTATCGAGGAGCACCGCCTTGCATTTGAGCCCGGAGCGGTCCGTCACGGAGTCCCAGTCGCCTCAGATGGCCCGAGAGGCTGGCTGGGATTAACCCGTTTGCAGACACGACTACAGAAATAATTTCGGTCGGCAGACCACCCCTCATGTCGATCACCTCATGAGCCAGGTATTTTGATTAATTATCTGTTTCGGCTTTCACGAGGTTCTCGTCATACGGAATGGTAATGTCGACCAAAAATATCCTTGAATGTGTCCGATCCATCAGCACAATATCAGGCTTATTCGCAAAAATAGTCCTGTCTGTGATGATGGCCCGGACCCAGTAGAGCCTGGCGCGTTCACTGTCGAGCACGGCTTCCGGCAAGTACTTGTAATACGGCACCTTCCGGTCCACGAGACCGTATTTCAGAGCGAGCTCCTGATCTAGAATTTTGGCTACTAGGTTGTGCCAGTGCAAGTTCTCAGAATTAGAAAGCGCCAAACAACCGGAGATGACATGCCTAAGTGACTCATTCGGAATGGCGACAAGCTGTACAAATGTCGATGGTGCCACCCTTTACTTTAATAACCTGATCCTGTATTGCACAAACAAAACCCTCGGTTGCCCCGAAGAGGTCACCGAAACACAGCCAGTTGAGGGAGGCGACTGTATCTACAAAGGGCTCATGTAGAGCCCTGTAGTACCTCCCGTGGAGCTCCTTCTCCTTCCATACGGTCTCCTGGTCGGAAATGCTAAGCACTGCCGGGTCCTGCCATTGCTCGTTAGCTAAGGAAAGAGGGGTAGCCCTTTATCACTAGAAATGACGTCATTATAGAATGGATCATCCGATCTCGCAAGGAAGTAATCACGGAGGTTGCACACTTCGCGTTTATGCATGGTGAGCGCGCACAGAAAGCCACGCCCACCATGCTTTCACGGCAAGTACAGCCTCATTACCGAAGATCTCGGATGATGCATCCTATGGGACGTCATGGTAGTGTGGACTTTTCTATCCAGGGCGTTAAGTTCAGTCTGAGTCCACCTGAGTATGCCAAAGGTATACATGAGGACAGGCATGACCCAACCGTTATATGCATGTGTCTTATTCACACCGGACAAAAGGCTGTTAAGCACTTTGGTCAAGCGTGCATAAAACACGTCGCAAACTGACTGTTTCATACCAGCCTCATCGATACCGATGTTCTGTGACATACCCAGGTATCGGTATGTTTCAGCCTCGGAAAGGGTCCTTAAGGTGACGTGCATAGATAAGTCTATGCCCTCAGAGTTAGCAACCCTTTCCCTTTCAACATGGAGGATTGCACACTTATCCGTCCCCAGCTAAATTCACAAGTGCAATTCCATAAGATGGGAGCGACTGGAGGCGAATAACTTGAGGTCATCCATGTAGAAAAGGTGGGTCACTTCTGTACCTCCTTTCCGAAGCTGAAATCCCCTCCCGGAGCCCCCTAGTAAAGTACTAAGAGGGTTCAGAGAGAGGCAAAACAGATTGGACTCAGACAATCGCCCTGGAAGATACCCCTTCTTATCTTTATGCGGCTTTCCGCAGCCGTCATCCGCTCATTCAGGTGACAAAGGATCGTACTCCATTGCCCCATACATTGCTCAAGAAAGTCTGAATTAACCACAAATGGAATATAGACGGCAGTTTTCTGCGCATCTAGTGGCGCCGCATTCCGAGCCGTAGCACTTCCATTCGATGAGAGAACAGCCTCAAGTCGTAGTTGTTCGAGCTCGCCGTCACCAAATATGTTGGAGCGCAGGATGTACCGAACTCGGTCTGCCAGCTTTTGCTCAGTGACGGATAGAGATGGTTCCAGCTCTGCAAAAAAGCGATGCATCCGAGCCCGATACGCCAAACATCCAGTTTCTTCCCCCTTTTGCCCTAAAGTACGCCCGCAGTGCGTTTGTGTTCATTAATTGTGACCAACGCATGCGAAGTGCTCCACCAGCGTCGGATGCTGCTTGCTGAGTCCGAGAAGACCCAGCCGACATCAAGCCTTCTGGTGGGGATGATGGATGCGGGGGGCTGCTAGGTGGTCTTGCAGCACTCCGCATTCGGCTGGCGGCCTGCGCGCTGTCGCGTCTGGCGCCAGCTCCAGATGCGCCTTGGTGACCTCCAGCAGCGGCCCTTTGCGCACTATGCTTTTTTTCCATCATCCATGATTTGGGCGTTCATTAACGTGAGACGCCCAGGCCCGGCACCGTATCGTGTACGGCCATAAGCACAAACGGGCCTTTGCCTAAATTCTACCGAGGCACGGCGCTCACACCTCTCGCAAGGCGCTGACTGACTGCGTTGACGTCTGCTACGTCAACGCAGTCAGTCAGCGCCTTGCGAGATATAAATATATAATTATAAATATATAATTATAAATTAAAATGAAAAGATAAGTATACATAAATATCAATAAAATAAAATAAATACAAAAACTACATAAATAAATAGGATCCAACCAGATGGGAACCCTCGGCAGGGGAGACCAAATGGCCGAGTGTTAGGGGGAAAGGGAAAGAAACCGACGGACGTTGCGGGCGGTATCGAGGAGCAAGGCCTTCTGCATTTGAACCCGGAGCGGTCCGTCACGGAGTCCCAGTCAGCCTCTCGGGTCATCTGAGGGGATTAGCCCATTCGCAGAGACGACGACAGGAATAATTTCGGTCGGCATACCATCCCACAAATCGGTCACCTCGTGAGCCAGGTCCAGATATTTTGTTCGTTCATCTGTTTCGGCTTTCACGAGGTTCTCATCATACGGAATGGTAATGTCGATCAAAAATATCCTTGACTGTGCCCGGTCCGCAAGCACAGCGTGACACACCATGAACCCTTTCAGCCAGTAGTGATGCAGCCCGTCAAGGCCCGGACTTTTCCAGTTCGGGGCCCTACGGACCGCCTCAGGTACGTCATCCGGCGTTATGATGACGGGGTCCATGGGCGTAATACCCGCACACTGACTCGCCACAACTTCCGTCCAAGGGCCCTCGTTGTGGTTTACGGGCTCTGACCACAGGCTGCGCCAGAATGCGACCGTGTCAGCCTGATTTGGTGCTGGGCGCGTTCCACTTACTATTGGTCGCTCCAATGATTTATTTAGAGTCTCTTCTGATCGCTCTGGAAGAGACGATTCTGGTTGAACCGTGTCGACCTCTCGGTATATCTCCGAATCCGCTTTCACCAAGCAGTGATTCTTTGCTTCAGGTCGTCTATGCGCTCCGTCAGTTTTTGCATTATATCCGGCTGGGACAAACTAACATTTGTCCCAGCAAACGCCATCCTGACGGTGCGCACAATCTTTGGCCTGGTATTGCCTGACCTGAAGCATATCAATCTGCCGATGAGGGCCCTAGCTTTTGCGATACGTTCTTCAATTCTTATGGGATAGCACTACTTTGTCCAGTAGCGCGTCCAGCCGTGGAAAGTTTGGCGCCTATAATACGGCAGACTGCCAGTGCGGCGCCAAAAATAATTGAGTCCGTCTCGCAAAGGTCCCGGCTGGCTTCCACATAGGTCACCAGCATTGGGTTCATAGCCCTCACGACAGCCCGATTCCGCTTGCTTAGGGCTAAGCGGGGAAGTCGCGGTCGATTTTCTAGAAGCGTACTGCGCGTTTCCACAATCGCCTCTTCCAATGTACTCCTCATTTGCTCTAGTTCCAGTTCTTAGGCGACTGTTCCATCATCGTTTGAATACGCCAGTTGTAACCACAACTGGCGTATTCACGGCGGCATCCACATTTGCCGTTTGCTCAGCAAGTTGTGGATTCGCATCCTCAGTCGCAGCATTTTCACCCGATGAAGGAACAGCCTCACGTCGTAGCCGTTCGAGTTCGGTGACACCAAATGTATTTGAGCGCAAGATATACCGAACTCGGTCTGCCAGGTTTTGCTCGGTGACGGTTACAGATGGCTGCAGCTCAGCAAAAAGTCGATGCATCCTCGCCCGATACGCAAACCCTCCAGTTTCTCCCCCTTTCGCCCTAAAATACGCCCGCAATGCGTTGCTGTTCATCTGGGTTGTCCAAAGCATGCGGCGTACTCCACCAGTGGCGGGTGCCGATTGCTGGTCCCGCGAAGAACCTGCCGATACCAAGCCAGCTGGTGGGGATGATCGATGCGAGGGGCTGCTGGGTGGTCGTGCAGCACCTCGCGCTCGGCTGGCGGTTCGCATGCTGTCGCGTCAAGCGCCAGCTCCAGACGCGCCATGGCGACCTCCAGGCAGCGGCCCTTTGCGCGTTCTATTTAATTCCATCATCCATTTTTAGGGCGTCATTTAGCGGTAGACGCCCAGAACCGGCGCCGTTTCATGGTGAGGCCATGTGCACAAGCGGGCCTTTGCACCTTCAATTTTTGCCGAGGCACGGCACTAACACCTCTTGGCAAGGTGCTGACTGCGTTGACGTAGCGGTTTTGTCACATAACCGTTACGTCAGCGGGCGATGGGGTCGTCACTTCCCTACTCCTAATTATTATTATTATTATTATTATGGGGTATATATATAGTTTTCTCATCTGGTTGGGTTCTATAAATATATAATTATAAATTAAAATGAAAGGATAATATACATAAATATCAATAAAATAAGAAAAAAAAAATACAAAAAATACATAAATAAATAAAGATCCAACCAGATGGAAGCTCTCGGCAGGGGAGACCAGACGGCCGAGGGTTAGGAGGAAAGGGAAAGAAACCGGCGGACGCGGCGGGCGGTATCGAGGAGCACTGCCTTCTGCATTTGAGCCCTGAGCGGTACGTCACGGAGTCCCAGTCGCCTCGGATGACCCAAAAGGCTAACTGGGATTAGCCCATTCGCAGAGACGACTACAGAAATAATTTCGGCTGGCAGACCACCCCACATGTCAGTCACCTCGTGAGCCAGGTACCGGATATTTTGTTCGCTATCTCTTTCGACTTTCACGAGGTTCTCGTCTTACGGAATGGTAATGTCGACCAAAAATATTCCTTGATTGATCCTTGATTGTGCCCGGTCCATCAGCACAATATCAGGCTTATTCGCAAGAATGGTCCTGTCTGTGATGATGGCCCGGTCCCAGTAGAGCCTGGCGCAGGCATTTTCGAGCACGGCTTCCGGTAAGTACTTGTAATACGGCACTTTACGGTCCACGAGACCGTATTTCAGAGCGAGCACCTGGTGTAAAATTCTGGCTACTAGGTTGTGTCTGTGCAAGTACTCAGAGTTAGAAAGCGCCGAACAACCGGAGATGACAAGCATAAGCGACTCATCGGGATGGCGACAAGCTCGACAGACGTCGACGGTGCCATCCTTTAGGATGTATCTCCGATAGTTGTTGGACTTAATAACCTGATCCTGTATTACACAGACAAAACCCTCGGTTTCTCCTTCTCCTTCCACACGGCCTCCCGGTCGGAAATACTAAGCACTGCTGGGTCCTGCCGTTGCTCGTTGACTAAGGATAGAGAGGTAAACCCTTTATCATTAGAAATGACGTCATTATAGAATGGATCATTCGATCTCGCCAGGAAGTAATGACGGAGGCTGCACACTTCACAATTATGCATGCTGAGCGCGCTCAGAAAGCCACGCCCACCATGCTTTCGCGGCAAGTACAGCCTCATTACCGGCGATCTCGGATGATGCATCCTATGGGACGTCATGGTAGTGTGGACTTTTCTATCCAGTGCGATAAGTTCAGTCTGAGTCCACCTGAGTATGCCAAAGGTATACATGAGGACAGGCATGACCCGACCGTTATATGCGTGTGTCTTATTCACACCGGACAAAAGGCTATTAAGCACTTTAGTCAAGCGCGTCGCAAACTGACTGTTTCATACCAGCCTCATCGATACCGATGTTCTGTGACATACCCAGGTATCGGTATGTTTCAGCCTCGGAAAGGGTCCTTAAGTTAACGGGCATAGATAAATGTATGCCCTCAGAGTTAGCAACCCTTCCTTTTTCAACATGGAGGACCGCACACTTATCCGTCCCCAGCTCCATTCCAATGGAATTGCTAAATTCACAAGTGATGTTTAACAATTCCATGAGATGGGAGCGACTGGAGGCGAATAACTTGTGGTCATCCATATAGAAAAGGTGGGTCACTTTTGTACTTCCTTTCCGTAGCTGAAATCCCCTCCCGGATCCCTCCAGTAAGGTACTGAGAGGGTTCAGAGAGAGGCAGAACCAGAATGGACTCAGACAATCGCCCTGGAAGATACCCCTTCTTATCCTTACGAGGTACTCCGCAGCCATCATCCGCCAGATGACAAAGGATCATGCTCCACTGCCCCATACACTGCTTGAGGAAGTCTCTAACTGTACAGTCGATCTTGTACAGCTCGAGGACTCTCTTTAGCCATGTATAGGGCACCGAGTCGAATGCCTTTCTGTAGTCTATACAGGCGGCGGAGAAGTTCAGACGGTTGCCTTTCACCATTTTGCCAATGACCGCGTCAATGAGGAGTGGTTCCTTGGTTCCACGACCGCCACCCCGACATCCATTTTGAGCGCGCGACATCGCCTGATTTAGCTCCAGGTGACGAGTGATTCCCGCACTCAAAATGGATATCACTGTCTTATATATGGTTGGTAGACACGCAATGGGGCGGTATTTGCTCGGGTCTGTGGTAACCTGGTCTTTAGGAACCTAATGAGTGATCCCAGTAGTGAATAGGCTAGGGAGCGACTTCTGGTAGAGAGCCTCTTGAAACTGACGGGCGAGCACAGCGTGACACACCATGAAACCCTTCAGCCAGTAGTGATGCAGCCCGTCGAGTCCCGGACTTTTCCAGTTCGGGGCTCTACGGACCGCCTCAGCTACGTCATCCGCCGTTATGATGACGGGGTGCATGGGCGTAATACTCGCACACTGATTCGCAACAACTTCCGTCCAAGGGCCCTCGGTGTGGTTTACGGGCTCTGACCACAGGCCACGCCAAAATGCGACGGTGTGAGCCTGATCCGGTCCTAGGCCCACTCCACTCCACATACCTCTGGTCGCTCCAATGATTTATAGAGCCTCTTCTGATCACTCTGTAAGAGACGATTCTGGTTGAACCGCCTTGACCTATCGGTGAATCGGCGAATCCGCTTCCCCCAAGTAGCAATCTTTTGCTTCATCGCCTATGCGCTCCGTTAGTTTCTACGTGATATCCGGCTGGGACAAACTGATATTTGTCCCAGCAAACGCCGTTCTAACGGAGCGCACAACCCTCGGTCTATTATTACCCGACCGGAAGCTTGTCAATCTGCCGATAAGGTCTCTTGCCCTTGCGATACGGTCCTCGATTCTTTTTATTTATTATTATTCAGTGGAGTATCCATATAGTTTTCTCATCTGGTTGGGTTCTATAAATATATAATTATAAAAATAAAATGAAAAGATAAATATACATAAATATCAATAAAATAAAATAAATACAAAAATAAATAAAAGCCCAACCAGATGGAAGCCCTCGGCACGGGAGACCAAACGGCCGAGGGTTAGGGGGAAAGGGAAAGAAACCAGCGGACGATGCGGGCGGTATCGAGGAGCACCGCCTTCTTCATTTGAGCCCGTGAGCAGTTCGTCACGGAGTTCCAGCCTCCTCAGATTACCCGAGAGGCTGACTGGGATTAGCCCGTTTGCAGACACGACTACAGGAATAATTTCAGTCGGCAGGGACACCCCACATGTCGGTCACCTCGTGACCCAGGTCCAGATATTTTGTTCATTTATCTGTTTCGGCTTTCACGAGGTTCTCGTCATACGGAATGGTAATGTCGACCAAAAATTATCCTTGACTGTGCCCGGTCCATCATTACAATATCAGGCTTATTCGCAAGAATAGTCCTGTCCGAGATGATGGCCTGGTCCCAGTAGAGCCTGGCGCGGTCATTTTCAAGCACGGCTTCCGGCAAGTACTTGCAATAAGGCAATTTCCGGTCCACGAGACCGTATTTTAGAGCGAGATCCTGGTGTAGAATTTTGTATACTAGTTTGTGCCTGTGTAAGTACTCAGAGTTAGAAAGCGCCGAACAACCGGAGATGACATGCCTAAGTGACTCCCCGGGATGGTGTCAAGCTCGACAGACGTCGACAGTGCCATTCTTTAAGATGTATCTCCGATAGTTGTTGGTCTTAATAACCTGATCCTGTATTGCACAGACAAAACCCTCGGTTTCCCCGAAGAGGTCACCAAAACGTAGCCAGTTGAGGGAGGCGACTGTATCTAAGTAGGGCTCATGTAGAGCCCTGTAGTACCTCCCGTGGAGCTCTATCTCCTTCCATACCGCCTCCCGGTCGGAAATGCTAAGCATTGCTGGGTCCTGCCATTGCTCGTTGGCTAAGGATAGAGAGGTAAGCCCTTTATCACTAGAAATGACGTCATTATAGAATAGATCATTCGATCTCGCCAGGAAGTAATGACGGAGGCTGCACACTTCACGATTATGCATGGTGAGCGCGCTCAGAAAGCCACGCCCACCATGCTTTCGCGGCAAGTACAGCCTCATTACCGACGATCTCGGATGATGCATCCTATGGGACGTTATGGTAGTGTGGACTTTTCTATCCAGGGCGTTAAGTTCAGTCTGAGTCCACCTGAGTATGCTAAAGGTATACACGAGGACAGGTATGACCCAACCGTTATATGCGTGTGTCTTATTCACACCAGACAAAAGGCTATTAAACACTTTGGTCAAGCGCGTCGCAAACTGACTGTTTCATAACAGCCTCATCGATACCGATGTTCTGTGACATACCCAGGTATCAGTATGTTTCAGCCTCGGAAAGGATCCTTAAGGTGACGGGCATAGATATGTCTATGCCCTCAGAGCTAGCAACTCTTCCCCTTTCAACCTGGAGGACCGCACACTTATCCGTCCCCAGCTCCATTCTAATAGAATTGCTAAATTCACAAATGATGTTTAGCAATTCCATAAAATGGGAGCGACTGGAGGCGAATAATTTGAGGTCATTCATATAAAAAAGGTGGGTCACTTTTGTACCTCCTTTCTGAAGCTAAAATCCCCTCCCGGATCCCACCAGTAAGGTACTGAGAGGGTTTAGAGGGAGGCAGAACCAGAATGGACTCAGACAGTCGCCCTGGAATATACCCCTTATTATCCTTATGCGGCTTTCCGCAGCCGTCATCCGCTCGTCTAGATGACAGAGGATCGTACTCCACTGCTCGAGGAAGTCTCAAACTGCACAGACAATCTTGAACAGCTCGGGGACCCTCTTTAGCCATATATGGGGCACCGAGTCAAATGCCTTTCTGTAACAACTGTGTGTGACTGTAACTGTCCCCGACATCCATTTTGAGCGCGCGACATCACCTGATTTGAGTCCAGGTGACGAGTGATTCTTGCGCTCAAAATGGATGTTAGTGTCTTGTATATGGTCGGTAGACACGTGATGGGGCGGTATTTGCTAGGTTCTGTGGCACCCTGATCTTTAGGAACCAAATGAGTGATCCGAGTAGTGAAGAGGCTCGGGAGCGACTTCTGACTGAGAGCCTCTTGAAACTGTCGGGCGAGCACAGCATGACACACCATGAATCCCTTCAGCCGGTAGTGATGCAGCCCGTCAAGCCCCGGACTTTTCCAGTTCGGGGCCCTACGGACCGCCTCAGCTATGTCATCCGGCGTTATAATGACGGGGTCTGTAGGCGTTATACTCGCACACTGACTCGCCACAACTTCCGTCCGGGAGCACTCGCTGTGGTTTACGGGCTCTGACCACAGGCCGCGCCAGAATGTTACAGTGTCGGCCTGATTCGGTGCTTGGCCCGTTCCACTTGCCATTGGTCGCTCCAATTATTAATAGAGCCTCTTCTGATCACTCTGCAAGAGACGATTCTGGTTGAACCGAGTCGACCTCTCGGTATATCGCCGAATCCGCTTTCCCTAAGCAGCGATTCTCTGCTTCAGATCATCTATGCGCTCCGTCAGTTTTTGCATTATATCCGGCTGGGACAAACTGACATTTGTCCCAGCAAATGCCATTCTGACGGAGCGCACAATTCTTGGCCTGTTATTGCCTGATCTGAAGCATATCAGTCTGCCAATGAGAGCTCTAGCCTTTGCGATACGCTCCTCAATTCTTTTTCTCCATGCTGGGATAGCGCTACTTTGGCCAGTAGCACGTCCAGCCGTAGAAAACTTGGCATCTATGATACGGCAGACTGCCAGCGCGGCGCCAAAAAGAATTGAGTCCGTATCGTAAAGGTCCCGGCTGGCTTCCTAATAGGTCACCATTATTGGGTTCAGAGCCCTCACGACAGCCCGATTCCGCTTGCTTAGGGCTACGCGGACGATTTTCAAGAGGCTTACTGCGCGTTTCCATAATCGCCTCTTCCAATGTACTCCTCATTTGCTGTATTTCTAGTTCCTGGGCGAATGTTCCATCATCATTTCTATCAGCCACCACTGGGTTATTCACGGAGGTATACACGTGTGCGGGTTGTTCTGCAACTTGTGGCACTGCATCCTCAGCCGTTGCATTTTCATTCGATGAGGGAACAGCCTCACGTCGTAACCGTTCGAGTTCGGCGTCATCAAATATATTTGAGCGCAAGATATACCGAACTCGGTCCACCAGGTTTTGCTCAGTGACGTACAGATGGCTCCAGCTCAGCAAAAAGTCGATGCATCCTTGCCCGATATGCAAAACCTCCAATTTCTCCCCCTATCACGCCTGACACGCCCAGCGCCAGTTCCAGGTGCGCCCCGGCGACCCCCAGGTAGCGGCCCTTTTTGTGTTCTATCAAATTCCATAATCAATTTTAATGAGCGTCATTCAACGGGAGACGCCCAGACCCGGCGCCGTTTCATGGTGAGGCCATGTGCACAAGCGGGCCTTTGCACCTTCAACTTATGCCGAGGCACGGCACTAACACCTCTTGGCAAGGTGCTGACTGACTGCGCTCACATAGTGGTTTTGTCTCGTAAGCGTTACGTCAGCGGGCGATGGGGACGTCACTTCCCTACGCCTTTTTATTTTTATTTTAATAGATTTTATAGATTTGTCAGAGATGCAACCATTAAAAGGAAACTGAGCAAAATTGATTCGTCAGCCTGTTTAAATGTTTTGAAACGCAGCGTATAGGAAAGCTTGAAAATAGCCTGTTTATTCCAAATGGGAATGGGATATTTTTTAATTAAAGGAAACTGAGCATAATTAACCGTCAGGGATGCAGACTTTTAAAAAGAAACTGAGCTAAATTGATTCGTCAGAGATGCAGTTTTCTGAATAGAAAGGAAACTGAGCCAAATAAAAGATCCGTCAGAGATGCAGCCTTTTCAGTTGAAAGGAAACTGAGCTTAATAGGTCCGCCAGAGGTGCAGCATTTGGAATTGAAAAGACTGAGCTAAATAGGAAATTTTGAATTGAAAGGGAAGATCTGTGGGAATTCTGATTAATTGATTGTGGGAATTTTAGAAAAAAAAAACTAACTGAACACTATTTTAAGACGCTACTGTACACAATGTTATATGTTTTTCCATTCGGGGAAAGAATGTGAAGATTCTGGGCATTTGACACACGCGAACATGCTACATACAGCTGACCATGGGAGAAGCACGGTTTTTCTAAGTTGACCCCCGCTACCTGTAACGTTTGCCCTTGCGCTTTATTAATTGCCATTACAAAACTGAGCTTAACAGGGAACTGCAACCTTTTGAATTGAAAAGGAAGATCTGTGGTAATTATAGGGATCCGTGGTATAATAACAATTTCACCTTTTCCTACGCCTGTCAAAATTGTAGCACCGATTATGTTCCGTCCAAGACGTGTCACACGCAGCCTTGTCCCGTTACATAACCGAGGAGCATCTAAATTTCGCATTAGCATGACTGGGACGCCTAATTTTAATTGAAGCTTATGTGAGGGCACACCTGACAACTCTAAAGAATTTAGACACTCTACGGGATATGAAGTGCTCTGTTCTGTGCCCATAACTGTGTTTACTGACAAATACTCTGTTATTTCTCCTGCTACTTCGCTTAATATATCTGAATTTATTTTGTTAATGCTCTCATTTTTGGTGCAAGAATCGCCCTTTCACATAACCATTTGTCTTCATGCATGTTGTTCGTTAAATCTGAATAAGCGCTCGCAATTAATTCGGAATGACTCTGTACTAAAGTAGTTACGTTGTACCAGTTCTGGCTCACTGAGTCAGAAGTGGTACAAGTACGACGTTCGTCGACTCACGATTCAAAAAAATAAAGGGTTTTGGCATGCTCGGATCACGAATCTGCGGTCCATTTTTGCGTAGGATGCACGGTTCCGGAAATGTGCAGATCAATTAACTCTTATCTAATTGATATCCAATGAAGGCCTCCACCGCCATTAGCGCTCCATTGTTCTTATCTTACTTATCTATTGTTCATTGAATACCGTCATTATCTATTCTTCCTCAGCGTGGTGCTATTGTATTAAACTCCTTTGTTCCTATCTACACTAATCTGACTCATACATAAAACACATTACCCAATTTTGTTAAAATTTTTATTTATAAAAACAAAATCTTATTATTTATTATCAATAAAATAGGAGCGAAACATCTCATCCACTAAAATATCGTTGTACAATGTGTTCCCTGTAAATATACTCGTAAGACTATGCATTGAACATCCCTGAAACTTATATAGCAAATACATTAAGCAATATTCGCCACAAACTGAAGTCCACTCATTCTGAATCCTATCAACATTCCAGTTCCATCTTTTACAATTCTTTTTAAAAAACTCTAGATTCTACATTCTCTCGTACAGGTGCTCGTCTGTATGAATCAAAATATTGACCGACGTCTTCGTATCGATATATAAAGCTACCCAATGTGACCCTGGTTTATCATCTGTACCCAAATTGCATATTACCTAGTCAGGACATAAATTCTATTACATGTTTACTATAAAATAATTGAAACAAGTTTATTCATTATGTAACCATTTATATAACAAAATTAACTTAACAAAACATAGATTCTTATGACACTATAGTTTATTCAAAATGACCTCCGTGATTTTGAATACAGGCCTTCAATCTGCGCGACCAGTCGTCTATCGCAGGACGAATGAGGTCCATGTCAATATCGGCGGCTGCCTTAATCAAGGATGTCTTGAGTGACTCCAAATTGGGATGAGGCTTTGAGCACGCCTTTTCCTCCAAGTGTTGCCATATCTTGTAATCTAACGGATTCAAATCTGGACTGGAGGAGGGCCAGTCTTCGTGTCGGATGAAGTCGATTTCACGCGCCGCCAGCCAGTCTTGTGTGCTCTTCGCTCTATGAGCTGAAGCCGAATCTTGTTGGACTACCCAGTGCCTGTTATTGAACATGGTATGAGAAACAGGTTACACAAGGTTCGTCAGGACTGTATTTTGATACACAACTGCATTCGTTTTTACACCTTTCTCACAAAAATGTACCTCTGTTAAGCCCCAATAAGAAACTCCCAACCATACCATGAGCGAGGATGGAAAATGACCTCGTTGGGCACGTGGAATACGGTTGCTCGCTTATTCACTACTGTGTGCGCACACCTTATCATTTTGTTTGTTGTAGCTCTCTTCTACGGTAAAAAATTTTTCATCTGAAAAAAGAATTTCCCGATATTTTTCCCGCGTACCGCTTCAACAAAGCGCGGCATCTCTTCAGTCTCAGGTCCATTAGACGAGCACTCAAACGATGTCCTGTTTTTTTTTTTCGATATGCCCGAAGCCTTAGCTTCATTTAACACCCTTTTCACCGTGGTTCTGCTTAACCCCATCTGAGGGGCCAACAATTTCTGCTTACTCTTTCTTTGAATTCGCGCCTTCACAGCTTTTATCACTGCTGGAGTCCTAACAGACCGAGGGCGACCACTTCTTGACCTGTCATCTACACTAGAGTCTTCATTGTATCGTTTGATGGTACGATAAACGAATCTTTTGGTTATATTCAAATGTTTCAGTATGTCAAAAATTTGAATTGGCGCGTAACCGCAACGATGCAACGCAATAACTGCAACACGGTCTTCTTTAAGCGTCCACTCCATATTTAAAAATGAGTAAAATTCTAAAAAGTATACAGTTTTATTTTCATGAACAATTCGAAATTCGAATTCAATAAACTTTTTGTGGCCAGCATTCTAAAAGAAAAGTTTTTACTGTGTGACAATACTTATGACCTGACTAGGTATATACGTTGGTACGTGGGTGTACATGGGCAGTCTATTAGCAGCATAAACATTATTTTCTAGACTGGGGTGAATGTTTTTCAGATGTTGTTGTACATCTAGTGTATCCATGATATTACTGCTATTAGTAGATTATTAAAGTACCAATCTACTCAATGACTAACATAGGAATGATTAATTATAATGATTTCTAAGTATTAAATTGCATTATTTTGTGTTATACAAAACGTATTTGAGTCATCAATACACTGAACAAGACGACACGAAGTAATGCTGAGATAAGCAACAGAATGTTAGATAAGCTTGTTGACGCATAAAGTTACTATCAATTCCACTGCACAAATTCTTTAGATTAGAATTATTACTCACTGGTACTATATAAGACCAAGCAACTGCAGTCACGGAGTTAGTGTATGATCGTTTGACCGCAGTGGATCTATCAATACTAGGTATATATGTGTTATTTCAACGCATCAAAGGCCATAGATGTAAGTGTTTATTCTAGTGACAAACTTACTTTTCTTTCTGTTATTTTCTTACGTGTGTATGATTTAGTGTTAACAAATTATATTTAAATATTGTGTGTGTGTGTATAAGATTAAGCCGTGGTAGCTCAGATGGTTAGCGCAAGCTGTAAATTTCACAGTACGCGACCCGGGTTCGATCCCCGCCGGCACCAATTAAATTGTTAATTGCAATTTTAAGTGCTGATTTACCACGTGCTCGGCGGTGAATGAAAACATCGTGAGGAAACCTGCATGTCTGAGAAAATTTCGAAGGCATGTGAAGTTCGCCAACACGCATTGAGGCCGCGCCACGGACATTTCCTACCTAAATACAAAGACAATAGCAGAAAGTGAAAAAGTTAAAAAATACTTTTTTAACAATGACAGTCATTAGTTGATCATTAGTGAATGTGATTCTGTTTACTTAAATTACAGGAAGACAAGAGCAGAAGGAAGAAATGGGATGATGGGAAGTAATGAAGCATTGTTATGTGAAGTTTGTTGGAACAAAAATACTTTTAGTCACGTGTAAATACTTTTAACATTTTGGTTCAAAATGACACAAAATCTAAAAACTATTAGATACATCATCGACATGGACGGATTTTACATTACATATCCTCATAAACATTTTCAATGTAGAGAAATGGCTATTCTAGATGTAAAACTATCTAATAAAAATGATGCGTTTATCGATCATTATTTGTTTCGGCCAAGTTATCCTTTCAATTATTTGTCGCCAAAAGACAACAAAACTGTTCGTTATTGTGAAACACACGTGCACGGCATTCCATATTTTGATGTGACCGAAGAATTAAAATGTGCCTACAAACAAGAGAACATAATTCCCATATTAAATTGGTATATTAGAAATTTGTGCAAAGACGAAGTGATCGCATACAAAGGTGGTTCAACAGAAAAACAATTTTTAAAAATGTTGACGACGAATGATAGAATTTTTAATATTGAAGAATACAAATGT